GTATCCTTAGCAGAAGGATGTTTATCACCTACAAGTCTCAAGAGCCTGGTACCTGGATTTTCCTTTAATAAACAACTCCCCTTCCAACACGGCCACTGCATGCACCCTTAGCAGGGTCAGCAAGCCAGGTGCCATCCCTTTCCACACCTAATGATGGGCCTAGAACCTAAGCCAAGACGGCGAGATTCAACTCTGGACCTTGGCTACAGCCCTTGGGAGAGAGGCTCTTTCTCTCTGTTGCATTGCTTAGTCATAAAGATCTAAGTCTGGAGTTGCCAGAGAAATCCTGTCTGAGAATGAAGCAGGTTTCCTGGATACTTAGATTGAACACCAAGATCCAGACATGCCTGAAGCTAGCCCCATTGACTCAGTTACGTGAGCTGATAAATTCCATTTTATGCTTCAGTCAGTGACAGTTGGGTTTCTGCCACTTCCATCAGAACAGTTTTTTTTTTCCTTTGGAGACAGGGCCTCGCTATGTCACCCAGGTTGGAGTGCAATGGTGCAATCTTGGCTCAAATTCCACCTCCTGGGTTCAAGAGATTTGTCTGCCTCAGCCTCCAGAGTAGCTGGGATTAGAGATCTGTACCACCTCATCTGGCTGATTTTTGCTTTTTTGTAGAGATGGTGGCGGGGGGGGGGGTCTCACCATTTTGGCCAGGCTGGTCTCGAACTCGTGACCTCAGGTGAACTGCCCACCTTGGCCTCCCAAAGTGCTGGGATTACAGGCGTGAGCCACTGCGCCCGGCCTAGAACAGTTCTTGTTCATTCTCCCTTGACCCAGAAGAAAACAAACTCATTCATTCATTCATCCATTCATTATTTATTATCTAATAAGTGCTCAGCCCCATGCTGGGTGATGATGGGGATAGTAAAGTGACCATGACAGGCTCTCGCAGCAATCGAGGCTTCCAGAGCTTAAATGACAATCACAAACAGCAAGAATGGTGTTGACAAAGCAAATGACATTCAGCAAAAACGGCGACACCTGCTGTGAAGGAGGAGCTCAGAGAGCTACAAGAGCTGGGATCAGGGAGAGGTCCCTTGAAAGATGGGCAGGAACCAGCCGATGGGAATGAGGTCAAGGGCCAAGGGTCCATGCACACAAGCCCTGGGTTTCAGGGCACACCCGAGGCACAGCAGGGCTCAGGAACCCAGACAAAGATCCTGGATATGGAAGGAGGGAGGGGCTAGGGAGGTCGGGAGGGGAGAGGTGAGGCAGCCATCCAGGCCCCAGTGGAGGAAGCAGGAGGATGCAGAGGAGGCCGGGGTGCGTATATGGCCTTCCCATCTTGTCCCTCAGAGCGTGGTGTAGAAATACATAGCTATCAGCATGACCGGGAGCTGGCAAGGAGGCAGCGAGATGAGGGCACTCCACCCCCCATCCCCAGCCCACCCGGCCTGTGGGCTCCCCGCCTCTCACCGTCCACATCAGGATGGCAAACCCAAACCATGAGATGCCCCACGTGTAGCTGTCGATTGCATGGCCGATGTGCTCGAAGCAGCCCTGAGCAGGGGGTGGGGGAGTTTTGAGAAGAACGCCCATGAGGCTGGCCGATAAAGGCGAGAGTCAATGTGCGCCTTCCCTGAGCCTCAGTTTTCTCACCCGTGCAATGGGGACCATGGCACTATCCACCTCCTCGGGTGGTTTTGGGGCCCCAGGGAGCTGATGTTGAACCCAAGCCCTGAACAAGTAGGTGCTGCCTGCTGATGGCTATGACAGTCTGAGAGTGATTTTGCTTACAGCTGGCTTTCCTTTTTTTTTTTTTTGAGTCTCTGTTGCCCAGGCTAGAGTGCAGTGGCACCATCACAGCTCACTGCAGCCTCGACCTCCTAGGCTCAAACGATCCTCCTGCCTTAGCTTCCCCAGGAGCTGGGATTACAGGCGCACACCACTACTCCTGGGTAATTTTTTGTAGTTTTTTGTAGACACTGGGTCTTGATATGTTACCCAGGCTGGTCTTGAGCTCCTGACCTCAAGCGATCCTCCTGCCTTGGCCTCCCAAAGTGCTGGGATTACAGGCGTGAGCCACTGTGCCCAGCCCTATTGTTTTGTTTTCTTTTGTTTGATGATTTGTTTGGTTTGAGACGGAGTTTCACTCTGTCGCCCAGGCTGGAGTGCAGTGGTGCAATCTTGGCTCACTGCAAACTTTATCTCCTGGGTTCAAGTGATTCTCCCACCTCAGCCTTCTGAGTAGCTGGGATTCCAGGCACATGCCACTGTGCCCGGATAATTTTTGTATTTTTACTAGAGATGGGGTTTTGCCATGTTGGTCAGGCTGGTCTCAAACTCCTGACCTCAAGTGATTTGTACACCTAGGCCTCCCAAAGTGCTGGGATTACAGGAGTGAGCCATTTCGCCCAGCCCTGTTGCTGCTCTTATTCCTGGACAAGCTGAGAAAAGTAGCAGGTGCCAGGTCTGGATCAGACGGACCCTGGGTGCATCCTGCTGACTTGAGAGAGAGTTGGGAGAGCACGAGAAAATCAGAGAGTGGTCTCAGCACAGTGGCTCACCAGCCTGGCCAACATGGTGAAACCCCATCTTTACCAAAAACACAAAAATTAGCTGGGAGGGTAGCATGCCCCTGTGATCTCAGCTGCTCTGGAGGCTGAGGTGAGAGAATTGCTTGAACCGGGAGGCAGGGGCTGCAGTGAGCCAAGATTGTGCCACTGCACTCCAGCCGGGGCGACAGAGCAAGACTCGGTCTGAAAAATATAAAAGAAAAGAAAAACAAGAAAATCAGAGAGGGGAGGAGGAGAGGGAAAAAGCTAGACAGCCAGCCAGAGAGGGAGAAGGACATAGAATCAGAGAGGGAGCAGTGACCAGAGGAAGACAGACAGATGGACAGACAGGTGCAGCAGGGCAGAGGGCCACACCTTGGTGAACAGGTAGTCCATGTGGCCCAGGCGGCAGCCCTCCTCATTGAGGGGGATGAAGTTTCCCGTCCGGCGACAGCACAGTGGGGGCCAGGGGAACACCACCTCCGGAGTGGCTGCCCGGAAAGCTGATGTGAAGTTCACCCAGTCCAAGGGACCAGATGTGCCACAGCATTCTTGCTGGAGAGAAAGGCGGAGGGTCAGGCAGGCCCGGGCTCAGAGAGGACAGTCACTTGCCTGAAGTCACACAGCAAAGAGAGGCAGGGCTGGCCTTTGACACAGCTGGAGCCAACTTCCCCATGTCCTGGACCTCCAAGCGAGTGTGTCAGGTGGTATCTGTGTGTGTGAGCACGGAGCAGACGATATTTGTCCCAGGACCATGAGGCTCATGGGGGATTTGGATCAAACCCGCACCTCTGACTTATTTTCTAATATTTTTGCCGGGTGCAGTGTCTCACGCTGGTAATCCCAGAATTTTGGGAGGCCAAGGCAAGTGGAGCTCAAGACCAGCATGACCCACATGATGAAACCCCATCTCTGCTGAAAATACAAAATTAGCCGGGTGTGGTGGTGCGCGCCTGTAATCCCAGCTACTCGGGAAGCTGAGCCAGGAGAATCGCTTGAACCCAGGAGGCGGAGGCTGCAGTGAGCAGAGATCATGCCACTGCACTCCAGCCTGGGAATCAAGAGCGAAACTCCGTCTCAAAAAATACAATAAAATATTTTTGTCAACAATTATGCTGATGAAATGACACAAAAAGGACAGATGTCTGGCTTTTCCTGGCCTTGGTAAGAAATCCAGGTGTTTTATTTGTGGCTCCTGAATCAGGAAAACATAGGTTTGGGAATCCTTCAAACATGGGTTCAAATCTTGGCTAGGAAGAGGACTTGGGTTTTCCTTGAGTCCTCAATTTCTTCCTTTTTTTTCTGCAAGAGAGTCTCCCTCTGTCGCCCAGGCTGGAGTGCAGTGGCATGGTCTCAGCTCACTGCAAACTCCGCCCCTGGGTTCAAGCCATTCTCCTGCCTCAGCCTCCCGAGTAGCTGGAATCACAGGTGTGCGCCACTATACCTGACTAATTTTTGTATTTTTTGTAGAGACAGGGTTTTACCATGTTGGCCAGGATAGTCTCGAACCCGTGGCCTCAAGTACTCTGCCCACCTCAGCCTCCCAAAGTGTTGGTATGATAGGTGTGAGCCATGAGCCACTGCATCCGGCCAATCTTCCTCCTCCGATGCAATATCAAGTTGGATTTGATGAAGAGTGTATCTCTTCAAACCTGGCAGTCTGAGTTTGAGTCCTTCCAGTTCTGTGACCTGCCAGCTGTGTGACCTCATCCAAGATATTCAACCTCTTTCTTTGGCCTCCTCATCAGTAAAAAGGTGATCTCCCTTATGGCATGGTAGTGAGGATTAAATAAGCTCTGAAAGTGCTTTGAGGCCAGGCACTGGTGACTCATGCCTGTAATCCCAGCCGTTTGGGAGGCCGAGGTGGGAGAATCACTCGAATCCTGAGCCCAGGAGTTCGAGACCAGCCTAGGCAATAGAGCAAGACCCTGTCTCCACAAAAAAACAATTTAAAAAACTTAGCCAGGTGTAGTGGGGTGCACCTGTTTTCCCAGCTACTTGGGAGGTGGAGGCGGGACGATCACTAGAGCCCAGGAGTTGGAGGCTGCAGTGAGCTATGATCACCCCACTGCACTCCAGCCTGAGCAACAGGGCAAGAATCCATCTCAAAATATGAAAATACAAGTCCTCTGAACAGTGTTAAACAAAGTTAGTGCTCCGCGAATGCTGCCGTTACTATCATTGTTATTACTGTCAACATTTCTCTTGAGCGGTATGTGTAGGCTAAGGGGAGGGGCTCTGGAGCCAGGCTGCCGGTTCCAATCCCAGCTCTACGGCATGACCTCACGCAAGGGACTTTCTCTTTCTGGGCCTGTTTACTCACCTGGAGAACGGTGATGGATGACCGCAGCCGTGCTCGCCTGGCCATCTCATGAGTAATGTCTTTTTTTTTTTTTTTTTTT